ATGTATATATATATATATTATATATATATTCCGGAATAACTTTTTTCGATGAAATATATGAAATAAAATAATTGCAAAACCACTAAATAAATGATAATTTTTTTGTCTCTCCATTCAATCATTAATAGCTGTGAAAGGCATGTGATGTGCGACTGTATGGACATCACCGATAGAAACGGATTAAATGAGTTGATATAGTCATCATCGACGGGTGCCAACCATTACATCAATATTATGACAAACACTGGTCGTCTCCCTTGCCTTACATTTATCCGTGAATTTCAATTCACTGTTCATATAATCAATTTGTTGTCCATTGCATGCGTTTCCGTCAGTTCAGGTAAAAACACTATTATTATTAGTCCTTTTCATAGCATTTTGACCCTTGCCTTACATTTATCCGTGAATTTCAATTCACTGTTCATATAATCAATTTGTTGTCCATTGCATGCGTTTCCGTCAGTTCAGGTAAAAACACTATTATTATTAGTCCTTTTCATAGCATTTTGTGTTTTATTTATTATGTATTACAAAATCATTTAATATTTAATTATGTGAGACAGCAAATGATGTTCACATTATGGCATTCAATCTATTTTTGTTCAATTTGTGCATGCCGTTTAATGTATGCTTAATTAATATTTTGTTAAAATATACAAATACGATGCTTGATATAATTATAAAATAGTCCTTAAGATATATATAAATTTATATATATAATGGTAAGCTTGTGTAGATAATTTATTATGTTATGTTATTTTAATTTCTAATTATTATGTTATTTTTATTATGTTATATTTATTATGTTATTATCGTAACATGCTAGATGTGATATTCAAGTTAGCAATATATTTTCAAACACTTATATAATAGAGTTTATTATTAACACATGATTATTGAATGCAAAGGAAATTAAAGTTTTTCCAAACGGATGTCTCAAAAATATTATGAGTTTTAACACATTTAGGGAGAGAGTGAGTGAGTGAGTGAGTGAGTGAGTGAGAGAGAGAGAGAGAGAGACTTAATTTAAAGATGTGATCTATTTCGGCAAAAATCCTCCAGAAAATAATTATTAAAATTTCTCTACTTTTATATACAATTCTTGTCCTTCAAAATTGAATTTCAAATTATATGCAAATAAATTAAAATACAAAAAAAGTAAGGAATCGTTTTATACACAAAACTTATTAAGGATTTTGCTTTTTATATGAGGAGATGATAATGAATTTCAGAGAAAAGGCTATTTATATAAGAAATTAATTTTATTATATGTATAAATACTTTGCGTAAAGTTATTCGTTGACTGTATTAAAAAAACAAATAAATTAAATATTAAGGCAAACCAAACAATTTGATTAAGTTTGAGTGAATAAAATTAATTAATTTCTTAATTAAGCAAGCCAAACTCATAGCACTTTTAGTTTTATAGTTTTATATAATTATAATTTCATGTGAAATAACTGTATTTAATGCTAGTTTCGGATATATTGCAAATTTTCAATACTATTGGCCGCAGTTTGCAAACTGTCTGAACGGGGCATACGTTTGGACGTAGCGGTCAGTCGTTGTCTCATTGCCTCGTCGTTTAGGACACTATCGATAGCCTCCAAAAACATTTTGCTTGGAGTCTATGTATGTCTAATCGGACGCCAAACCATAACATCTCCACTCAAATGGAGCTAAAAAGCAAATAAATTAAATATTATGGCAAATCAGACAATTTGATTAAGTTTGATGAATAAAATTAATTTAATTTCTTAATTAAACAATACATTTTCAGTGAATTATATACGCCATGAAAGCCAAATATTGACTTTAATAAGTTTATATTAACATTAGAGTTGTATACAGTAGAAAATGTATAGTATTGATTTTATTTACCAAATATATTTTGGCAATACTTTTTAAATTAATAAAATGTGAAATTGATTTTTATTATTATCAAACTAGAAAACTATTACAAAATTTGGCAGTCTACATAGGTTATATGTTTTATATAAAATAATATACTGTATAACTTACTAATAATTGTTATAGTTAATTAATTAATTAATTATTATTATTATAAAACTTCTTTATTTATAAAGTTTATGAAAAGGAGACAATTGATTGAAAACAATGAATTTATGTTATAATTTATACAAAACTTTTGTGTATAAGTCATGAATAGGATATACAAAAAAAAGGAAAGCCTTTCGTGCGAAATATAAGTCAAATAATAAAAACAATTTGACATTAAAAAGAGGCAAAAAAATTTGGCTCTAATATCAGTCGATTGTATTCTCATCATATAATTAAGTTATAGAAATAGTTTGAATCAACTCTTTTAGACAATGAAAAAGCAAATAAAACTCTACTCTAATAACAGTGGCAATAATTTTTAGCAAATTTATGCTCACATTTATTATAATCACTAGTGGATAATGTTTGCAATTTGTTACTTACAAACACACAAAAATACTTTAATAGTATGAATGATTAGAGATTTAAATTTTACTTAATTTTAATTATAAGCGTATAAGCGATGAGATAGTAGTGTAGAAAAATAGCAAATATTGCAAAATGTGTGTTGAATTGAGTGGAGATCATGGCTTACAGACTAATTGAATTGGTTTTTGTTAGGGGGATAGGAGTTTGCAATTAAATTGAATCAATGCGTTGAGTATTATGATAGCGAGTGTAGGAGAGAGAGAGAGAGAGATGTACGTGAAAATCAGTGCCATCACTACTACTTCCCTAATGACACAAATGGATGAAATTACTTGAAAAACTTCAACAAAAACACATCACATTTACCTCTGATCTTAACATTTGTTTTGTCAGGTATTCCGGGAATCAAATTAAGAACCGCTGAATTAGGAGAGGATAATACCGGTAAGTGTTTTGCCCATAAATACCCACATATTTTCTTACTGTTTAGACTAACTGTCCTCAACATCGCATGAAATACAGACAAAACAATCCATTATTTACGAGACGTTTTGTCAAATCGATTATTGACTGATATTTTATTGAATGATCTGTTTTTTAGCTGGACTTTGAAGTCTCTCTCTCTCTCTCTCTCTCCAGGCTTGCATTAAGTTTTATATTAGATTTATTCGCTTATAATAAACTTCCGGCTCTTTTCATGTAATAAATTGAATTCAAATTTTTTTATATTTTTGTTTGTGGTCAATATTTGCTAGTATTAGTATAGTACTGTATAGTATAGTATTTATTTATAGCTATGATTTTTGTAGTATTCCGTAAAGTATTTTTATTTTTATTGAGTCAAAAACATATTGTCGATTCATTATTTGCCGTGAATTTATAAATTCAAAATGTATTTGAATTTTTCAATGTAATATAGTTTGAGTTTATTTTATTGATCCCTATGTATAAACACTATTGATATGAATTTCATAGTAGAGTTTCAGTGATTTTCAAATGATTATAAAGTAGTGAATTTGCGAGCTATGTTAATAATAATAATACAAAATAAACTTTTCATTTTATTTTCACAAAAAACATATTTTCTTGACTTATACGATACGAATAGATATTGAATTATAAGCGAAATGAATAAAAATAAATGAATAAAACTATTTATATGAATGCTATTATATTAGCCATTAAAGCTCGGGAGTTTTATATCTATATTAATATAAATATATTTATATTCAGGATATTAAGCATTTAGACGTTGAGAATATTCTGGTGTGACAGACATGTTGTAGATTTCGATTTTCTTATTACACATCCAAACCAAAAACCCATACAAATTGTATGACAATGTATACCAATGTATAACGAGTTATATGTCTTTTTTTGTACGGAATCAGCGAAAACTTTACACTCAAATAGCGATTGAAAAAAATGTAAAATACTGTATAATATCTCCAAGTTTTTTATATGTATTAAAGCGTAACTCGTGTTATATTTATTGCATTTAAATTAAACTTGGATTTCAAACGCAGTCTTTATTTATATAAAAAGATGTAATTTATATTTCTTATAAGAAATGCACGCATAATATGTTAAATATATTGAATGAACACATATGGCATGGGTTTGTCTTATTTTGCGTAAATTAATGCACTTTTGTATTACTTATTGCTTGAGTAAAAACAATAGATTTTCACAATTTGAAAAAAGTTAGACATAAGATATTTTATAATTATTCTGTATAAAGAATATTGTATCAGCATACATTTTATTTTTAATTTCATGATTACATAGGGAATATTTATGTAAACTTTAAATTAAATAATGTATTTCCAGTTTTATCATTGTTTATGAATTATATTTAATATATTCACAAAAATATATATTTAAAGTGATATATATTAATTTCATTAACTATTAAATTGGTTTCATAAGTTTAAAACCAGTATTTTAATAGCAAATAAAAATAAAAATCATTGAATTTTATAATTTTATACAAGTTTTTCTTGGTTTTAGATTATTTATACACAGAATTAAATCAAATTTCATGCAATGATTAAAACATTACAAAGACTTTTGACTTATTTTGTAGTATCATTAGGGAAATTACAAGAAAAAAGACAAAATTTAATTAAAAATTCAATAAAATTCAATTACGTATCAAATGAGAGTTGACTTCAAACACGTGAGACAAACAAAAATCGGTGCACAGAATGCACCGCAAAATGTGTGTACAGAATATTCTGTGTGTATTGCAGTCTCTCATAGAAATGCAGTCAATTGAATGTGTATTCAAATGATTCGTGTAATGAATTGAATTTTCTTTGAAATCGATTACAAACTAAATTTCAAAAACAATGCGAAATTCATTGGAAAACAAAAGTGCCTTTTCTTACCATTAATTTATTGTGTACTACAATGAATAACAGATATATTTGACTATTATATAACCCACGTAAAAATATTCTACAAAATTTACTGTAAAATACAAAAAAAATATTCATGTTAAAATTACTTATTTAACAAAAACTATTTACTATATATTTATAATAACGTATACTTAATATAATTTATTAAAGTAATGTACAAATTTGTATATTGTATAAAACATTTACAAAGTTTAAAATTTTGTTTGAAATAAATTTGAATGAATTTATTTATTGAACTGACAAAACAATTTAAACGAAAATAATTTATGAATACACAGTGTATATACTTTTGAATTATTAAGCTTATGATAGAAATGAAAAGTTTATAACAACTATAAAAAGATTATTTTGGTTTCGTTTGGGAACTATAGTCGATATAATAGACAGTTATTTTAATTTTAGCTCTCGTTTTGCCAAACATTTTATACGTTGAGAGAGAGAGAGAGAGAGAGAGAGAGAGAGAGAGAGAGACGTAAAACTATTTTTTTATTGAATGGGAAAACATATAAACCGAAAAAATATGACTCAATAAAAGTCACAAACGTTTTTCGTATATACTGTATAGTATAGGAATCCCTGTATTATATAACTCCTACTATTATATCAGCAAATCTTACGTTTTATATATGAAAAGCTGAGTTAAGACCCGAAATATTAGCAACAATTTTATTTAATCATTCAATGGCTTTAGATTAACGGCACACATATTTTCGTGAGACGACTGTCCCCTTCAATAATAAAATTAAATGAAAGTCTATAACGAATGAGACGTTTATTCACTTTCGGTTTTCCTATCCGTACGGCTATTAAAAGCATTTTTTCTCGTTTTTCTTAACTAATACTACATCACGACTACTGTTTGAAGTACTCATTGATCGACTTTTTGCCACATTTTGCTTATGAAATTAAATTAAATTGATTTTTCACTACAGAATTGGTTTAATTGCTTAAAGTTTTTACATTACAAATAGATTCTGATATCACTTCCGGGATTCAATTCCCAAACAGTAGTAAAAATAAATTATTTATTATAGCCATACATTGTTGCGATAAATATTCCCATTATTTTTTATATTTTATAATTAGTTACATGCACTTAATAAATAAATTTATAATAACTGAATAAATTAATAACATTATCGCACATATTATATTTCAATTCTTGCTATCACACAATACTTTAATGAAATATTTACAACTTCTCACTGAATAGTATACTCAATATGAAATAAAAATGTAAATTTCAATTAAAATAATTTTTATACACAACTGATTGCCAGTCATTCATTCGCTAATTTGAAATCAAGGATTAAAATTGCCATTTAATGTTTAATATAAACTTTATGGCAAAACTTTTGTGTGTATTATTGTTGTAAATAGATATACAGTATAACAAAATACAGTCTGACCCCGAGATAAGGTTTTCATCGGTGCATGAGAAAACATTACCTTATCTCGGGATAAACATTATACGGAACCAATACAGTAATAAACTGCCGGTGCAGTAAACTAATGCACCTTAACAATATGAAATAAAAATGTAAATTTCAATTAAAATAATTTTTATACACAACTGATTGCCAGTCATTCATTCGCTAATTTGAAATCAAGGATTAAAATTGCCATTTAATGTTTAATATAAACTTTATGACAAAACTTTTCTGTGTATTATTGTTGTAAATAGATATACAGTATAACAAAATATAGTTAAAGTTTGCATTTAATTATGAGTGAAAAGTAATTAAAATCTCAAAAGCAGATCAAATACCATGCATATTTAAATAATTAATTAACAAAATATTGTAATTCACGAGTAATACTTTTTTGATGCAAATATATATATGATATTTTAAAATTAGAAAATTATTTTAATATAATATAATATTTACTACTATTCTGTAAACTTTCCCATTTCTATAGCCTTCCCTGAATACAGAGCACTGGTAGGCGATAGAGTGCAACTGCCTTGCAATATAAGTATGCCATCGAAAGGTATGCCAACAAAAAAAACTCTCATCAATTACTACAAATAAATTAATTGCGCTTGCTAACTAATTATATATATTTTAGACGACTCGATAACATTGATTCTGTGGTATAGGGGCGACACGACAGGCGGTCCCATATACTCAGTGGACGCCAGACAAATGCCTACCAAACAGGGCCAACACTTCCTGAGCGATGACCTCACAAATAGGGCGACACTTAATATATCCATCAGACCGGCGATCCTCACCATAGACCCGGTGCGAGCCGAGGATGAGGGCGAGTACAGGTGTCGAGTGGACTTCCGGTGGGGCCGTACCATGAATACGGTGGTCGGCCTTATAGTGATCGGTATGAATGCTAACCAAAAATAACAAATACATTCAGAATAATGAGTAGAATATTCTGTAAGAATAGGAGATTCCCATTAAGAATATTCTATAGAGAAAGGAGTTATAAATTATGGATTCGTTTGAGTCATTAACTCGAATGCATGTATCGATAGGCCATTTGATGGCTATTTGTTTTGTTGGTGTATATGAGTTGTGTGTTTGTAATGTATGTCTCTCTCTCTTTCTCCCTCTCTGTCATCGCACATGTAGTCCCTCCTCGACGAGTGATCATTAAGAATGAACGTCTGGAGCCATTAGACGAGTTGGCCGGACCTTATCAGGAGGACAGCGACGTGAGGCTGACGTGCGAAGCGAAAGGTGGTATGTGTTCAACCAATTTGTTAGTCGCTAATAGTCATAAAAATATAGTGATTATTGGGCTGCTCTTTGGGGTGTATGTGCCGCTGATGGTGTGTGTGTTTGGGATGTCATAACAGCCAGGCCGCCAGCTCTGGTCAAATGGTATCGCCATAACCAAGTGATCGATGACTCGTTTGAGATCATTCAAGAGGGGGCGCGAGTCCGCAACGATCTCACCATTAATAAAGTGACCAGGGCTGATTTATTTGCCGTGTATAGGTGTCAAGCCTTCAACACCAACCATACCGTTCCCATCGAAGCCAAAGTTATATTAGACATTACGCGTGAGTCGAGAAAAAATATATAAATTGTCTTAAGATTAATATCTTAATATAGTATAGTATTGTATTAATAATAAATTATACTAGGATATTTTTTTTGGGTGATATATTTGTCATTTTATTTGTATTTTTTTGTTCATAATTTGTTTCTCGCGTTTGGTTTTTAGATGTGTTTTGTATGTTTGGTATCGATTTGTGCGAAGCATTTGTTTTTAAGAAAAATACACACAAATTATATGCAGAAAATGTAAATTTAATACAACAACAAAAATCTACAGTAAAAAACTTATTCACATAAATAGAGAAACACTGAGACATTTAAGAGGAAATCGTTTGACAAAAAAAAAGTATATTTTATATTTAGATTTAGATTTTTGATGGAAATCTAACAGAAATCTTTTGCTTGACATTTGTGTAGCCGTTTTGAGAGAGAAAGAGAGAGAGAGAGAGAGAGAGACATACATTACAAACACACAACTCATATACACCAACAAAACAAATAGCCATCAAATGGCCTATCGATACATGCATTCGAGTTAATGACTCAAACGAATCCATAATTTATAACTCCTTTCTCTATAGAATATTCTTAATGGGAATCTCCTATTCTTACAGAATATTCTACTCATTATTCTGAATGTATTTGTTATTTTTGGTTAGCATTCATACCGATCACTATAAGGCCGACCACCGTATTCATGGTACGGCCCCACCGGAAGTCCACTCGACACCTGTACTCGCCCTCATCCTCGGCTCGCACCGGGTCTATGGTGAGGATCGCCGGTCTGATGGATATATTAAGTGTCGCCCTATTTGTGAGGTCATCGCTCAGGAAGTGTTGGCCCTGTTTGGTAGGCATTTGTCTGGCGTCCACTGAGTATATGGGACCGCCTGTCGTGTCGCCCCTATACCACAGAATCAATGTTATCGAGTCGTCTAAAATATATATAATTAGTTAGCAAGCGCAATTAATTTATTTGTAGTAATTGATGAGAGTTTTTTTTGTTGGCATACCTTTCGATGGCATACTTATATTGCAAGGCAGTTGCACTCTATCGCCTACCAGTGCTCTGTATTCAGGGAAGGCTATAGAAATGGGAAAGTTTACAGAATAGTAGTAAATATTATATTATATTAAAATAATTTTCTAATTTTAAAATATCATATATATATTTGCATCAAAAAAGTATTACTCGTGAATTACAATATTTTGTTAATTAATTATTTAAATATGCATGGTATTTGATCTGCTTTTGAGATTTTAATTACTTTTCACTCATAATTAAATGCAAACTTTAACTATACAGTCTGCCCCCGAAATAAGGTAACTCGGTATAAGGTAAACCCCGTGATAAGGTGCATTAGTTTACTGCACCGGCAGTTTATTACTGTATTGGTTCCGTATAATGTTTATCCCGAGATAAGGTAATGTTTTCTCATGCACCGATGAAAACCTTATCTCGGGGTCAGACTGTANTGGTATGTGTTCAACCAATTTGTTAGTCGCTAATAGTCATAAAAATATAGTGATTATTGGGCTGCTCTTTGGGGTGTATGTGCCGCTGATGGTGTGTGTGTTTGGGATGTCATAACAGCCAGGCCGCCAGCGCTGGTCAAATGGTATCGCCATAACCAAGTGATCGATGACTCGTTTGAGATCATTCAAGAGGGGGCGCGAGTCCGCAACGATCTCACCATTAATAAAGTGACCAGGGCTGATTTATTCGCCGTGTATAGGTGTCAAGCCTTCAACACCAACCATACCGTTCCCATCGAAGCCAAAGTTATATTAGACATTACGCGTGAGTCGAGTAAAAAAATAAATTGTCTTAAGATTAATATCTTAATATAGTATAGTATTGTATTAATAAATTATATTAGGATATGTTTTTTTGGGTGATATATTTGTCATTTTATTTGTATTTTTTTGTTCATAATTTGTTTCTCGCGTTTGGTTTGTAGATGTGTTTTGTATGTTTGATATCGATTTGTGCGAAGCATTTGTTTTTAAGAAAAATACACACAAATTATATGCAGAAAATGTAAATTTAATACAACAACCAAAATCTACAGTAAAAAACTTATTCGCATAAATAGAGAAACACTGAGACATTTAAGGGGAAATCGTTTGACAAAAAAAGTATATTTTATATTTAGATTTAGATTTTTGATGGAAATCTAACAGAAATCTTTTGCTTGACATTTGTGTAGCCGTTTTGAGAGAGAGAGAGAGAGAGAGAGAGAGAGAATTGTCGAAATTAAATATCGGCTAATATTTGGGCGCACAAACCGTACAAATATTTACTTTAAGTTTATTATTAGAAATATTTTTGCTAGTTACTATTTGCGCCTAAGTGTGTTATGTAACTTTTAGGTTCAATAACTTTATCGTATTACAGTATATCATATTTATTGACATACTATTTTACATTAATTTTTGTTTTCTAATATATTTTGCTATTATAGGAAATATCACAGAATATTATAAGAATACAATTATATTACAAGAATATTCCTATTAGTATAAGAAATATTAACTTTTTAAGTGTTAGCATAAATGAAATGACTTTTGTTTTTGTATCTCATGTGCCGATCAGTGCGACCATTGAATGTGGAGATCATAGCAAACAACGAGCCGTTAATCGCCGGCAGAAAAATCGATGTCTCGTGTGAGTCGAGTGGCTCTCGACCTATGGCTCAGATAACGTGGTATAAGAATAAGAGGAAACTCTCGGAGTCGAGGTATTCATCACATAAACACTTGCCATCCATTTCCCATTGAATACCACCGATAAATGTATGAGTCGTGTGATTGATAGTGGCATTCCTACAAAAAATTATACAATATTTGTATATAAGCTTACAATATGTTAAACGACACACTAGTGACTGAGAGACTAGGGGACAGGCATTTATTATGTATATTCCTTATCGCCCAGTCCTATGTAGTGTATTGTCCGCACAATTGACTCATTTACCTATCAATATACATAAATGTTCACAAGTTTTTCATTCATTTTCAACATATTATACAAAAAAATAAGACATTTATTGTCTTGAGCTATGATTTATAGTCTGACGAGAAGTTTATAAGAAAAAGCATTTGAAATACAATTAAAATAATGGACTGTTTTTGTCTCGCAATACATAGGGAGACATACTCCGAGGACGGGAACGTTACCAAAAGTGTAATTACATTGACTCCAGTGCCTGATGATAATGGGGCCCAATTAGTCTGTATGGCCAACAACTTTCGCATCACTAATGGCTCGTCCATTGAAGACATTTGGACGCTAAACGTGTTGTGTATGTACTCTATCTATAAGCGGTTATTGTCTTTAATTGCATTACAATGCAATCGTGGCTAATGATAAGTGTATAGGAATTCCGGCATTCAATGCAATGCTGTCTCAATTATATACTGTATGTAACACTTGGCTATCAAATCGAGAGCTCAAATCACATCGAAATTACATCAAAGAGCAAATAAAATCTTAAATTATTTATACATAGTATGCGATGTGAATAACAAGTGCCGTGTTTTTTTCATACAGACAATTGTGTGTCAGATATTGATTTATAGATTAGTTTTATTGAAATTTTTTTCTTGTTTTTAAAAGCTTTTTTCTCCGAGAGATTATTGACTGATAACTCGTGTCTCATGTTGTAATCAATAGTGAATCTCTGAGTAGAAAAATGTGATGAGATTTTTATTGAAAAGAAATATGAGATAATCTCTAGTGATATGACATTTTTGTGATATATTTTAAAATTTTAATTGATTTTCTAATTATAATGTACATTCATATTTGTAAATTATATATGATAAGCATAGTTATTTATAACATTCACGTCAACGTTATATATTTTTATGATATAACATAATTGTTTTCAGTTTATTTTAGACATTAATTAGTTGTTAACAAAATCATAAAAATATAGAAAATAAAAATAAAATTCAGACATTTGTCAGAAATATTTCAAAAAAAACTTTTCGGTCGTAAAGATAATTGTTTTTAGAGTTTTTTAGTGCTACGAGAAATGGTTTGCCAACAGAATAGGACTTAAATATATAACTGAAATAAAAATCATTTATTGGTATCTAATAGAAAGGTTTGCTATCATTAGTGACACGACTGTATGGCAAGGGATGGGAAGCCTATTCCCTCAGTCACTCATATAATTGTCTGGATTTCTGATTTTCATTCGTAAAACTATCACATCTTTAGCTTATAGTGCGGTTCGAGTGGAGAATATTCTGTAGGAATATATTGTTTTTTTCAGAGATCATCGCCAAAACAACTCTCATATGATTTGATTTGAAACATAATTTACTGCTTTATTTGATAAATATTTCAATCAAAAAAAAGTTACTTGCTATAGTAAATAACTACAGCATAATATTCTGTATACTGTATAATATTCTATATGCATACATAATAAGTAAATCAATAAATGAGTTTTAAGCTATTTATTTATACTCCTAAGAGATTTATACAGAATATTGTTTTAAACAGTAGTAAAACCTCAATGAATACTATTATCCCATTTAACGATAGATATGATTGAAATGCATTTCCAGATGAACCACGAGTTAGTCTCGTGATGACCGCCACTCATAAGAATAGTATCGTCGCTGAAGGCAACGAAATAGTCATGGATTGCAAGACCAAAGCCAACCCATCAATACTGGATCACAACTGGTTTTACGAGCAAAGGATGATTAAAACCGATTCCCTTAAAGGTATTGAGAAATAAAACACCAAAACAATGAGCTTTTGTATCGACAAAAATCTAGTGAAACAAAATATTTTCATCGCATTGTTTGCTTTGAGGGACGAAAATAGCCGTATCGCTGGAGAAAAACCAATAAAAATATTATATAATATTTTTTTATATGATCACAAAGTTTTTTAAACTCACTTTAATAGCCATCATAGAGTCTGCTATCGAAAGGCTAAGCTATGAAAAAAACGAGAAAATGATAAATGAGTTAAATTTCATAGACTATTGATTCAAACGATTCAATCAATACTACTGTTAATCGATATTTTATTTAATATCCATTTGTTTCGGACAATTAATACCAAGTTTAATATTTTATATAACCATTAAGTTTGAAATATAATAATATTTCAAATAACTTAGCATGCATGCATTTATGTCAACACCAAGATTCTTATGTAGTATTAAATAAAATAGCTTTGTTTGTGATGCCAATTATGGTCATATACTGACTGTTTGTTTGTCAGGAATTTATGTAAACAACGCGACGCTTGTTATAAAAAATGTGAGCCGAAGACAACACGAGGGAAGGTATTACTGTTTGGCCGCCAATACTGTCGGCCGGGGAAAGAGCAACGATCTCCTCCTATCCATCGACTGTAAGTCTCTCTCTCTCTCTCTCTCTCTCGACTTTCTTTCTATAAATAAATTAGTATTTTTAGAATTAATATTAAAAAATTTCTTGAATGAAAGGATTTAATTAAAAAAGTTTTTTTTCGTTTAAATGCTTTATAATAGACAAAGAATTTCATAAATTATTAATTTATTTTTATTAGGTTTCTTAGTATTAATTTAATTATTAAAAACTTTCTTTTAAGCATAAGATTTTTAGGTATAATAATTATTTTTTATTGCGAGTGAGTAGAGATAATTATTTGTGAATAAAAACTAATTAAATGCATACTCTTAAAGGACTCACGATGTAATCCCTGTCCATCAGACAATATGTCTTTCCTTTTACAATAAAGAAAACTAAGTCTTAAATAAAGCCCAGTAATGAGTCCGTGAAGTCCTGCCCCTCACCTAAGTCTCGACAAAAGGATAAATTGATTT